CCTCCCAGCCTTTTCCACTGGGCAGCCTGTTGAACCCAGAGGAGGGTGCTGGCCCCTCCCACAGCCACCCCCTCAGCACCCCACTGCTTCCCCACCTTCAGCCTGGTGATTGCCGTCCTGGTGGACAACTTCGAGATGGCACTGCTCAGAAGCCAGGAGAAAGTGATGGAGGAGGTACCGAGGGGGTGGGGCAGGCGGGCGGAGCCGGAGGCCGGGAAGGGGAGGAGGCTGGAGGCACGGGAGGCTGGAGGGAAGGGGGCTGCTCCAGAGCAGCGGGATCAGCCGGGCGCCTCTCCGCAGAGGGCCGCCGAGGTGCAGGAGACGATGCTGGCCGAGTCGCTGACCGAGCTCTCCAAAGAAGGTGCGGGCCTTCCCCCCCTCCACGGTGCACGGGAGTCCCAGGCTCGGCTTAGAGGTTTAGGATCTGAGAACTTTCAAAGCTTAGAACTTTGGTCCAAAGAGCGCTAAGACAATCCTCCAAAAGTCAATTAAACTGAGAGTCAATTCTTGAAAGATTCGTTGGCGAAATACTAATTAGCCAAATTATGGTTCACCAAACACTCGTTTCTGTTAATAACTTCATAGCAGTGGTTTTACATGCTGCCTGATGGTTTCCGCTGAGGGTTTTGTCAAAGATACACACTTGAACAGCGTCGCTCAAAGTGGATTGAGAGACTACAAAAATGAAGTTTCCTGTACACATTCATATTTACACACCTGACTTTTTGGGTAATGGATTTGAGCCAGTTCCTTTACTTTCTGCTGAAAGGTCTTCAGAACTTTAGAGTCTGAGCTCCAGAATCCCAGTCTTAGGACCATTGACATGAGAGGAATAAGGGCCCTTGGGGGTCACCTGGCCCTTCACCTGCCCTCTCCATCAGGGACAGACACTTAATGCAAAAGAGCTTAAGCAAAAAGAACAATTAATCGGCTCAATGACTTAGCAAACTGAGAGTTCAGGGGCTTTCAGGAATGGCTGGGTCCAGGACTTGAATGACCGTCAGGATTTGGTCTCCTTCCATCTCTGCTCTGTAGGCCGCTGTGTGGTTTTATGCTTAGGGAGGCTCCTCCCTTGTGGTGGGAAAATGGCCACCCGCAAGTCCAATCTTAGATGCTCACAGTTTAGCCATCTCTAGCATCCCAGTAGAGAGGTCCTCTTCTCCCAGGAGTTCCAACGAAGTCCAGAAATTAGTCTCTTTTGCTCCAATTGATCACCTGCCTATTTCCAAACCAATTACTGCAGCCAAAAGGATAGGCTGTNGAAGGGGAGGAGGCTGGAGGCACGGGAGGCTGGAGGGAAGGGGGCTGCTCCAGAGCAGCGGGATCAGCCGGGCGCCTCTCCGCAGAGGGCCGCCGAGGTGCAGGAGACGATGCTGGCCGAGTCGCTGACCGAGCTCTCCAAAGAAGGTGCGGGCCTTCCCCCCCTCCACGGTGCACGGGAGTCCCAGGCTCGGCTTAGAGGTTTAGGATCTGAGAACTTTCAAAGCTTAGAACTTTGGTCCAAAGAGCGCTAAGACAATCCTCCAAAAGTCAATTAAACTGAGAGTCAATTCTTGAAAGATTCGTTGGCGAAATACTAATTAGCCAAATTATGGTTCACCAAACACTCGTTTCTGTTAATAACTTCATAGCAGTGGTTTTACATGCTGCCTGATGGTTTCCGCTGAGGGTTTTGTCAAAGATACACACTTGAACAGCGTCGCTCAAAGTGGATTGAGAGACTACAAAAATGAAGTTTCCTGTACACATTCATATTTACACACCTGACTTTTTGGGTAATGGATTTGAGCCAGTTCCTTTACTTTCTGCTGAAAGGTCTTCAGAACTTTAGAGTCTGAGCTCCAGAATCCCAGTCTTAGGACCATTGACATGAGAGGAATAAGGGCCCTTGGGGGTCACCTGGCCCTTCACCTGCCCTCTCCATCAGGGACAGACACTTAATGCAAAAGAGCTTAAGCAAAAAGAACAATTAATCGGCTCAATGACTTAGCAAACTGAGAGTTCAGGGGCTTTCAGGAATGGCTGGGTCCAGGACTTGAATGACCGTCAGGATTTGGTCTCCTTCCATCTCTGCTCTGTAGGCCGCTGTGTGGTTTTATGCTTAGGGAGGCTCCTCCCTTGTGGTGGGAAAATGGCCACCCGCAAGTCCAATCTTAGATGCTCACAGTTTAGCCATCTCTAGCATCCCAGTAGAGAGGTCCTCTTCTCCCAGGAGTTCCAACGAAGTCCAGAAATTAGTCTCTTTTGCTCCAATTGATCACCTGCCTATTTCCAAACCAATTACTGCAGCCAAAAGGATAGGCTGTTCCGATTGGCCAGGCCTGAGTCAAACAAAATTGCTACACACTCCAGGCCTGGAGAAGCAATCTCTTTGAGGGTATCCTGGGCAAATCTTGTTAGTCCCTGTTTGAAAATCTCCATGACATGTGGGGTTTTCTCTGCTCCCTTCAGTCCAGGGATCCCCTTGACTTCCCCCTTCTTTCTCTACACCAGAGCCTGAAGAGGTGATAAGTGAACACACTAAGCAGAAGCTCTTCATTGAGAAAAAATTTGGGACCATGACTGAGAAGTAAGGAGACCCAAAGGGAGGGGAGGCCTTGGGTCTAAGGGGAGAGTTCTGGGGGCCTGACTGCTGGGCTGGCAAGGAAAGTACACTGCCCACCTCTGCAGAAGGGGGTTGGAGCACCAAGGCCTATGTAGAGCCTGTGGGTCAGATGTGGAAAACAGGAGTGGCTTCTGCTCAGCAAGAGTTAGCTTGTGCTGCCCAGCCAGTGTTGCTCAGTGGTTGCACATTGACCCATTCACTGAGATGTTGCTGGTTTGATTACCGGTCAGGGCACATGCCCGGGTTGCGAGCTTTATCCCTAGTGGGGGCCATGTAGAAGGCAGCTGATTGATGTTCTTCTCTCATCGATGTTTCTATTGCTCTTTCCCTCTCTCTCTCTAAAAATCAATTTTTAAAAAATATTTTAAAAAAAAGAGTTAGCTTGTGCCACCAGGAGAATCCCACCAGCAGCACCTGAAGGGCCACGAGAGCCCCTCTGAGACCAAGGGCTAAGGGCAGAGACAGCAGAGAGGTCCTGAAGGAGCAACGATTCCGTTCATCTTCTTACTGAGGAAGCATCTCTGACCCTGGCTCCGGGCCAGGCCCTGTGAGGTCTCCAGGGACACAGAGAAGGGGACACAGACTAGCGCCTGGGCGTGAGGGCCCCACCTAGTTGTGCAGGGCCATGGAGAGTGGGCGGGCTTCAGCCAAGTGGAGGGTGAGGAGGGTGGATCAGGGAGCAGCTTGGGTCGAGCTGATGGTCAGTACCCCGTTTCTGCTGACTTGAAGTCAGGTGGGCAGGACAGCTAGGGACTCAGGGATGTGCTCCAGGCAGGGGAACCTGGGCACAGACTCCTGCTGCCTGGCTCTCCGGCCTGGCTCCCAGAGAGCCCCCTCTCTGAAAACTGGGCCTTAGCCCACCTCATCCAGACTCACTCCAAAGCAGCAGACAAGGCCACCTGACTACTGGCACCTTCCAGGCTCTCCTCACCTCGCAACAGAGCCCAAGTCCCAAAAGCCTTCCGTGATCAAGCCTTTGCCAACCTCGCTCGAGTCATTGCAGCCGGTACCACCCCCTCACATCCTTGCTTCACCCACAGTTTCCCAAGCAGAGAACATACTTCACCTCTGGGCCTTTGCCTACACTGTCCTCTCTCCTTGGAATGCTCTCTGGCTGCCAGTGCCAGGCTGAAGTGGCCAAGAGCTGGGAGGGCTGAGTTCCAGTCTTGCTACTTCGCCACCTGGCCCTCC